ACGCTGGGGGTAGAAACGGCAGGTCCTCTTCCTTTCTTAGACGTCCTCCTAAGTCGCAGGCCTGATGGTAGCGTCCGAGGGAGCGTTTATCGAAAGAAAACTTGGTCTGGACAATCTACGAACTTTCAAAGTTTCATACCCCTCCAACAGAAGTGAAATCTAGTCCGCTGCTTAGTGCAAAGGGCCAGCAAAATTTGCTCGGAGGAGCTTATGAAAAGCCAGGACCTGCTTCGGGTATCCTGTGAGATTTATTACAAAAAAGATGGTTTAGAAACAAATGAAACCCACCAAACTTACTGCGGGAAAGAAAACACTATTCCTCAAAGTCCCCTTTCAAGGTAATGCGCCAGCTAAACTCCTGAAAAGACGCCCTGACAAAGTCGTGTCACGAACCTTTCCAGCTGAGAGCGTTCGGGTATTGTCCTCAACCAATCTGGTCTTGCAGGGGTAAGGTAAGGATAGGTTACCAGCTCAGACCATCTCCGTGTGCATCTACTGTCTTACTTGCTCCTATGGAGCAGGTTATATTGGTAGTACGAGTCGATGCCTATCCAAAAGCATAAGGGAACACCTCCCAGCATGGGTCAGAAAAGGTGAGGTCAAGAGCTTAGACAGCTCTTTTCTCATTCCTGTTTTGGTGGCATCATTTGGTCAAGATATCTAAGGACGAACGTAGCCGGTGTGGCTTTCGAGACATTCACTTCCCTCTTTCCCTTATCGCCCTTATCAACCGAAAAAAAGCCAGACCTGGCGCACCCAGATATCGGATTATTAGGGTTTTCCGTTAAAGACAAATTACGAAATTGCCCTGGAAACCAAGTTCTCGCTCTCAGAGACTAATTTATTGTGTCTGTCGGCACCTTTCGAGCTTTTGACTTCTGACCTGAGCGATGTCAGATAGAGATGCTACCGAACCTAGTGACTGACTCCATCTTCCGCATCGTCACCTGCTGGCCTCTCGACCCATACGAATCAGACTCTCCTCAAACACCCGTTTTATACAGAACATAGTTCCTGCAGGGGGTCGGGCATAACAACGCCACCCGATAAGGCGACTCGTACGTCTTAGCTAGAAAATTTACGTCATTTGATGAAAATGCCACAAAGAAGCGTTTCGCTCACCAACACTGTTTTACCAGTACTGATAGTTTTTGCGCTTAGTTTCTCTTCTCCACGACAGCCTATAGCTGCTAATATTTTCGGAAAATATTAACCAACTCCTGCATGAACATTCTTTTAATCTGTTTTTTTT